AAAAAAAAAAAAAAAATGGAAATCCACAAGTTACTTCTTTATGCAAGTTACTAAGACTAAGTATGACTGGTCTCAGCCACAGGTTCCTAGAAACTAAGGACTGTATCTTGTAATTTATCACAAAACTCTTCTATAGATTTAGCTGAGTATTCTTAACAAAAAATTCAGTAAATCTAACTAACCAACATGTTGAAATCTATAACTACTGACCAAATTATCATATATACTTCTTCATGTAGTTGGTGGAAAGTGACTTATTTATATATTATTCTGAAAGATCTAGTTCTAAATGCTTAATTTTTAAACAAGAACTGGTAAATATGTATTGATTTTTTAAATTATGTAAAAACAAAAGCTATGAACTTCTAGAACAGAGTAGAAAGCCACAAGCTACGTTCAAGGTCATCTCTCTCTCTCTCTCTCTCTCTCTCTTTTTTTTTGGTCAGTGTTGTGATCAAACTCAGGGCCTCACAAATGCTAGGCAAGCAATCTATTACTGAATCACATTTCCACTCCAAACCTCTTTCTAAATAAAATTTTAGCTTACTTCTCCAAAGACCATTGGATGAGATTTATACAAGTACTTCAATCAATGAATCATATTTTGAATTGATAAATGCTGACTTCCACAAGTAAAGTGGTGACCACTGACAAACTGCATGATTTCCTGAAAGTTTATTTGTTTAATCTTTTTTGGTACACATATGATGCTGAAGATAACAAAAGCTAGGCATGCATTCTGCCACTGAGTTACATTACCAGCCCTGTTGGATCATTTTAAGGTTACATTTTCTAAAATGCATAAGTTACATCTGTTAGGGTTTTTCTTTTATACTTGAGAGTATCTAATAGAGTTTATAAAATGGGTATATTTAGTTGATCATGTAATTTAGGAATTTTGAGAAGATGATCAATTTTTTTTTGTTTTAAGAAGTATAAAAATGAATGACATATAAGTAAGAGCTCTAAGAAACCATTTAAAAATGCTAGTTAAACATGACCAGAGACTGAAATAAAACTTTTTGCTTGCAGAGTTTTTCACTGAAGAGACAAAACGAATGGCTAGGAATGAAGACAGTGAATGCTACAGAATTAATCATACATAAACACTGAATACAAATAATCGGCAAGCAGTCATCAGTATGGAAGTGTACGAAATAATGCAGAGCTACAACTGTGACTCTCTAATCTCTGATGACTCTAAATTGTTCTCTCCAGAGATTACTGATTAGACTTGTTAGGTGTTGTATCTCAACAGAATGGGAATGAATGCCACATTACAAGGGAAACAGGTGTATAAAATATGTTAATATTATATGAGTGAATATAAAATTTACTAGTTCAACACATGTTATGTCAGGTACAACTAGTCACACTAAAAATAAAATGCTAAAAACTCACTCACTGTCTTCTGTGGGAAGGACCTGAAGGGAGTAAATCCACTCTATTATATCATCTTTGTTCACCACATCTAAGGAGTCCAACATATCCAGCCCGGAGAGTGCAAAAAATGCAATTGTCAACCTAAAAGAAAAAAATGTAAGATTCCACCTTAACTATCAAACAACTGAACTCTTTATGGTTCAAAAAAAAAAAAAAAAAACTCATTTAACATTTAAACAATTTAAGCAGTACTCTCACTTTGTTAAAGTAAAATAATAAGATAAGTTCCCCTCCACATAGTTTACCTTTAATAATTAAATAGTATCAGTCAAATCTTTAGTTTTTTTTTTTTTTTAAAAAGGGACCATTTATGGGCTAAAGAAACCAATCCTCAATTGAAGCACAAGTGAATCTAGTATATAAACAGCACGAAGACTAAGCAGATTTAGTATGAATAAGCCAAAAACGTTAGGAAAGTGTATAAAAAGGTCAATTTCTACTATTTCCCAAGCGGAAATGTGCTTTATAACTTAGGCTTACTTCTTAAGGAATATACCAATTATAAATGTGATTCCTTGTGAAAAAATATGAATTTGGGAAAAGAAGAAATACTTTAAATACAAATGCATTTCAACTCCATTTTTCCAGCAAGGAACATTATTTGATAGAATAAAAAACTATATGGCAACGCCATTCTCCTCCAAGATTGTGCACTAAATCAGAACTCTAAAACTTGTGCTTTTGTATAAAAGTCAGCATGTTAGTGTTTACTTTTAACATAATTTAATTCCTTTGAAGTTGAGAAAGTCTATAATGTTGCTTGATTGAGCACCATTAACTCATTCCCGCAGTTTAATATCTCTATAAAAGTTTATTTCAAATTATCTGGTATAATATTGTATACCAAAGCCATCTGATGCATGCTGTAACATTTTGGGAAGGTCCCAAGAGAAAATTAAGCCTTCATGCCATAAGCCATCTGTATGTAATATATTAACTATGCATCTAGGATAGAATTATCTAGAATGGTATTACCAACTTTAAGAGAAATGAGAAAACATTCATCTTTTCTTAGAGCATAATTCTCTCTCTGATCCCTGGTTTAAAAAAAAAAAAAAGGCTGGCATCTACTAGGTAAGAGAAGAAATCACAATAATTTAATTCCAACTAAACCTAACAGGCAAAAACTAAAACCAAGGATACTGAGATACTCAAGAAAAATACACATTTGGGAAAACTAATATTATTTAGAAACTATTAGCATATATTGGATACCGAACTAGAAAATTGTTAATGTATCAATTTGAATCTAACAACCCATTGAGATCCATCTAATTAAGGTTATTTACCTGCATAAGATCAGGATTAAATTAAGGGAAGTGGATCCCTTTTGTGTAGGAAACAGTGTTATGCTATAATTCAGAGATCAAACTCTGCTGTCAAATGAGCTACATTCAAATTCTAACTTGGCCAATAGCTAGTCACATGACTCTCGGCAGGATACTTTACCTTTCCTAAGTTTTAGCTTCCAGTAATGATGTAAATCATCATTACACATCACAGAGTTATTGGGCTTACCTGTCTACAACAAGCACTCAATAAATAGAAACCATCATTATCGATGTCTATCCTAACACGGAGGGAAAGGAATAATAATAACCTTAAGATTTAATCACACTGTGTTACAAGCCTTTTCTCCAGGTCCTTGATTGGCAATCTTTTCCCCAAAGGCAGGCTCTTTTCCAAAACAAAATGATTCTTTAGACACTGGGGAAATCTAACATAACAGCAACTGAGTTTGAAAATCACGTGTTTTATGTGAAAAGGTCTACTTTTCTGGTGATATTACTTAAAATATTTATTGTTAACAAATAAAAGACCTGAAATACTATTAATGTTCTCTGACAGTTTTAACAGGGTTTTCAGCTTTGGTATAACCCATAAATAATCATGATTAGATAAAATTGATATTGAATAATATGGTTTATTAAAGCATTATTATAGAGAAAAACAAAAGGAGGAGAGACATAAAAGTTGAAAAACCATGAAGGACTTGAGATTGGAAATGGATAAAACAAAGATCTTTTAGTCAGTAAAAGCTATATAGTAAGAAAACATCCAAAAGGCTAGGGCAAGGGGGTACAGTTAAATGGTTAGTGTTTGCCCTGCATGCTGCAGACCCTGGGTTCCAACCATAGCATCTTGAAAAAAACAAAAGGCTATAAAAACAACTTGGTATTCTTTCCTAAGTTAAAAACTTCAGAAATTATCAAGACCATTTCTTTATTTTTATACTGAAGACAATAAAATCCAAAGGATTAAATTAGATTTCTATGCTTTGGTTAATCAATTAAAAGGAAATCTGAGTCTCAGTGCAGTATTCTTCCCCAAAGAGGTGCTTCTCAAACCTTCTGAACATTAGAATCAGCTTAAACAAACAAAAAAGGCTGAAACACCACAACATAACCTAAAAGTCCAGGCCTCACTTCACAACTAAATCAGAATCTCAGGGTGGAAGTTAAGGTCTGGGCACATTTTTGTTTTCAAACTTCCCAGATGATTTGAATGCGCTGCCAGGTGGTTCTTTATTAGAACAAGACTGCTAATCAAGCAACTACAGGAGGATGCTACTGTCATCTTTTGGGTAAAGGCCATGGATGCTGCTGAAGTCCTCCAACACCCAGGACAGGCCCAAAGAACAAAGAATTCTCTGACCCCTAAATGTGAACAATGCTGAGGATGAGAAATTCTATTCACACTGTTATCTGAAGAGTTAAATGATCTTTTGTTTTACTTGTTTCTGGATGCATTTCATTTATATTCAAGTATCAAATATAATAAATCAGTCATATGGTAGTAAGGAATCTTAAAATCTTGCATACTTAATTATTAAAGGCTCCTAAAAATCCAGTAGTTTTAACTCAAGGTTGAAGGTTTAAGTAGAAACTCTAAAGTTTTTGGGATTAACATAACTACAGTGAATTGCTTATGTTTATAAATTAAGTCCCCATCACCAGGTGGAAGGAGGAGGAGAGAAAGGGGAGTAGCAAGATATGAAATTTATAATTATGTTATATGCATGTACCAGTATTTAGCAATGAATTCCACTATTAGGTATAGCTATAATGTACCATTAAAATAAATAAATGATAAATAAATGAAGTAAGACCCCATCAGAAATGTTCAGTTAATGACTGGTACACAGAACCAAGAAGGTGCTTTGGAGCAAACACCCAGCCTCCCTCTGAGACAAGCTGGTAAAGCATTCCTTTTCTGATAATCTCAGAATTCTCAAGTAGCCCTAAGTCTTTGTGAGGGAAAAAATTAAACAAGTTGTAAGAAATACAAATTAATTTTTGACTGTAGGCCTCTGAGAGAAATAATATAGGGTTAATGGTACCCACATGACTGCTACTTGGCATAAAATCTGCTGGTTAACCTAATTCTGTCCGGATGTATAGACGAGTAATACTTGCCAATAAATGCACCCAAAATCAGGTCAACTACATTATTTTTACTTTATTATTTTTTCTGGAGAACATTTGTTTCCTTCCTTTCTTTTCCTATAACTGAATCTCTGAGTTTGTAGCTTGAAAAGCTGAAGCAAGCAAGCCACATTCCATCCATCCCCTACTCCTACTGGGAAATTTTTACACACACACACACACACACACACACACACACACACACACACACACAGTTTATCTTACCTGGGCAGCAAAGTAGTATTTCCCACCCTAAATAAAATCTGCTTCACCATTGAATCAATTCAAAGATGGGATAGATGAACCAAACATTTCCAAAAGACCTCATTTTTCAAGATTAAGTCTGGGCAATGGAAAAAAAGAATTTAGTCACAGTGATATAAACAGTGTGCTGCCGGCCAGAGCAGTGAGTGACAATTTGGAAATATATTGAAAATACTGATTTATAGATGTTGATTAACTTCCCAAACTTTGGATCACTTGCTTTGTTCCTTTCTGGTACAACCCCTTAACTTTCCTTTACTGGTATCTCCAAGATGGACTGTATTTCAGCATAGGTCTCAGGGTAGGGCTATGGCTAAGTCATACTGCAGAGTTCCAAAATTATAAATAAGCAGCTACATTAAGAAACATACATTAAACTGATAACAGTGTCCGTAGAGAGCCTTTAGAGGACACATTAAAATCGATCATGAAGTTAAAATACTAGCACATAGATGCCCCGATACTTTGAAATGAATTACTGTAATAGTGCATGATTTCTAAAATTGTAAGCATTATTCATTCATACTTTATAATGGCTGACTCATCTGTTAAATATGTTTACCTATAGTCACACAACGTTAGAATTACTTAACATGCAAAATATCTTAATTACCCCAGAAGAAAGTTACTAAAAACTAGTATATAACTAGATTTCATCACAAAAATGAAAAAAGCTTCCTAACTTAAGCAAGTTCTATGATACATATATAGAAATCATTCCTTTCTAAACTTGCTCCTTTCTGCCTTTCTCCAAACCAGGTGATAGTTCCAATACTGGAATCCTGAGATGACAATTTCTTTTTCATCCCTTACTTTCTATTCCTACTTCACATTTCAGCACCTTCTCTCCTGGACTACTGCAATAGCTTCCCAATTGATATCCCCGGTTCTGGTCCTGTTTCACCCAAAATACTTATCATTCTCAAATCACATGATCACTCTGAAGTGCACATTTCTAATCATTAAGATCCACTGTTTGGTGAGTTTCCATTACTCACATGTGATATCAAATTTCTGGACAGGGCACACAAAGCCTTCAATGATTTGGTCCACGTTTACCTCTTTAGGCTCAATTCCTACTACACTTGCCTTACATTTTGATCCAACATTAGTTATCTAATCAACACCCAGTTATCTGCCTTAACTCTTACTGTCCATTTGCAATATATCTATTGGTGGGGGGAACCCACAAGCAAATCACAAAAACACCAAAAAACTCTGGAATACACTCTAACAAAATTTAGTTTGGGAGTTATTTCTTCCAGGAAGTCTTCTCTGAGTTCCTCTCTTTTCAGCTTGATCTAGTTAGGTGCTTCCATTATGCCCTGTGAATATTGCCATCACTGTATATAGAAACTCAAAAGTGTGGTCAAGGGATCAACAACATCAGCAGCACTTGGGAATTTGTTGGAAATGCAGCATCTCGGACATCACCCAGACCTATGCAATTAGAATCTGCATTTTAACAACATCTCAGGTGAGTCATATGCACATGAGAATTGGGAAGCACAGTTGTAATAATCTACTGAATACATTTTTCTCCTATCAGATAGTCTCAAACTTCAGCATACATCAGAACTACTTGGGATGCTTGTTATGATGCAAACTCCCAGGCCCATGTTTAACATAGTAGATCTGGGGAGGGGACCAGGAACCAGCATTTTTATAAGCACCCTAGGGCACTAAAAAAGAGCTTCCCACAATTATGCTTTGAAAGAAACACTGTTAGACTGTAATATAATGGATATAAGAGAGGAATTGAAAGGATATTGTAGTTGCAGAATGGTAGGCAGCAAAGAGGTTAAACACAAGATACACAAAAAGTAGGTAGACTGTAAATGTGTCATAGAATAAAAACTGCCTAAACCTTTCTTCTAGAATAGCTAGGTCAAAAAAGCTTTATCTATAAAAATTTTTATTATTCCAGTACAAATGGTAATAACTCAAACAACAAAAAACTCTAAACTACAGTCACAAAAAAGAGCTGTTAATTGACAACGCTTACCATCTGAGGTCACTTAACTAGAAACTACCACTTTTCCAAGGTTAAAAGAAAAACCTCAGATGAAACAGCAAACACTATACTTATTTTCATGAAGCAAATGTCATTAGAAAAGTAAAAAATCATTTATTCTTGTCATACTAAATTAAATAAGAAATGGAATAATTTTTCCAAAATACAGGGGCAGAAAATAATGTCTAAATATCTGGTCCAATATTTGCCTTACAAGTCAATATTTCAAATTTATCTGCAAAAAATAACTGAATAGAGAACACCTCAGTCATTGGCTTAACACTGTATTCCTGTTACTAGATACCTAGTAGTCATTCAATTAATGCTTGTGGAATTGAAGTGCAATACTAGGTAAGAATTGTGAGCTCCCCAATGCATTGTTTTCATCTTAAAACTCTAACATAGTAGAAATTTTGTGATCAGTCACCTTTGCTTAAAAGGTTAAAGCTTCTTCATAACCATCTTAAAATCAATTATGAATCACACACATCACAAAAAGACCTTAATGATAAATGAAGGTAAAAACAGTACACAAGGAAAGAGAAACTAAAAAACCAAAACTAACTACAAAATCTGATACATTATTACCTTTAAATGTGGCTACTGAGTGAGCATAGGAAAACTAAAAATGATTAAAAAAATTCTATGCAAGTGACAAAACACTAAACATAAAAAGAATACAATTAATACCTCTTAACCATTGCAACAGTGGTATCTATTCTCTAACATACAAAGTTCGGTGTAGAACCTACTTAAAAATTATTAAATAAACTGTAAAATTTATTAAGTCGGGCAATTTTTGCTGTTTTACTTATGTTGTGAGCAGAATTACACAACTTAATGCCAACATGCATGGTTTTGTATAAGTTGGAATTTTATAGATCAAACATAGTGGCATCTTGAAAATGTAACCCACAGAGCTATAAGCAAGCAAAGCTGGACTATTTAAGTCACAATGTAACAAAAGGATATAATTTTTTTATTCAAATTCTCTGAGTTTTCATAAGATGAATCCCCATAAATTTGATCTATTAACATTTCATATCACTACCAAATGGACTAAGTTTTGATTTCTTTCCTTTTGTGCATGGTTGGGGATTGAACCCAGAGTCCTATGCATGCTAGGCAAGCACCCTTACCATTGAACCCAGCCCTTGAAATCTCAATTTTTAAGGTGTAGATATGGGCTCTGCTAGCCAGTCCTACAGATGGAGAAAATAACATAAATGACATTCAAGAATGTGTTTATCCTTTTAGGCTCAGCTCACATATTCAACAAATATTTCTTTACTGCTTATTATATATCAGATACCATTCAAGGCACCAGTGCAATGCAGTCTCACAGGTCTTGGTGAGACGATGCAAATTGCTCAAACAGAAAGAAACAACAGCCAATGGCAAATATGGTGACCGAGCACTTGAAATGTGGTGGTTACTGGAATAGGGGAACTGATTTTTAACTTTGACTTAATTGACTCAAAACAAAACAGTAAAATGTGTCTAGTGGATCCCTTATGGGACAGGGCAGTCCCAAAGTGCTATAGAGGTAAACAAGATAGAAAAAAATCCTGCCTTCATGAATTTACAATTCTGTGTGACCCAAAGTTAGTAAATAAATCAATTAATAAATACATGTCAAGTGGTGATCACAGAGGCCTATCTTAAGAAAACATGGATTAGATACATGCCCTTCTATACGCTCCCATGAACTCTACAATAATATACAATTTTACTGGAACTTGTCTTATTTAGCTGTATTACAATACCTACCATAATAAATATATTTTTTGACCACGTGTGCAGAAGCAATCTGTAATTCCCCAAACTAATCTAGTAGTACAGTACTCAAAATACCAATCTGTTTCTTCTCATCCAGTCTCATGCAGTTCTGAAGCCTCACTTTAAAACGCAGCAATGCGGAGCCAAGTATCACCTCTTCCTTTCGCTTTCTCAACCCCAGCTTTACTGTGAATCACAAACCTTAGCTAACTCTAACTTTACCAAAGGCAATTGCAAATTCACTTTAATGAAATGTTTCACGCAACACTGCACCTCTTTTGTTTACCATTGGATTTACAATTCCTGGAAAGTAAATTTCTACTCATACCTTACAGGCTCGCCACTGCTCCTACACACCAAAACTACATTTACTTCCAATTACGCGTTACTGACTACAGAAGAAAGAGAAGCATAGGAGCTTTGTGTTTTCCTTTTATACCATAAATAACGAAGAAAACTCAATCAAGGGATCTGGGAAATGAGTGAAAAGGAAACTCAGAATAAACAAAAAATGGCTGTGTAACAAGACGGAAATTTAGGATTCCCAAAAACCTTCCACTTAGAGCTTTCCAAATTTTTCAGCCGTACTTCGGGGGTGCAAGGGTGACTGCAATTCCGCCTGAGACTGGTGGGAGCGGTCAGAGTCGCTGGACTGCAGTGTAGCCCCCTGCAGACGCCCAGTTCGCATTCCAGCCCCTCCTCTGCGTCTTTCCGAAGGGGCCGGGCTGCGCTGTACGCCCTCCAGACTGTAACCACGAATTACCTGCTGGTCTCCAGCGAAGAGTAGCCCTCCGGCAAGACCTGAAGGCAGCGCTGGAAGAACCGCACGTGCCTGTCCCGCAGGAAATCCAGTCGCTCTCCCTCACCGCTACCAGGAAGCCGCTCATCCTCCGTGGCCGCCATGCTGCCCCGGAAGTGATGTCCACCGCGACCAGGAAGCAATATTCGTAAAGGGAAATCAAACCCTCACTAATGACCCGGATGTACTGGGTCGCAGACCAACTAGATGATGGGAGCCATATACTGTAGACTGCAAATGTACAGCATTTTCTACTTTGAGCGCCCAGAGGTTCGCAAATAGTTAGGTCTTGTGGAATCCAGCCTGTAAATTCGTTAAAACTTTGGTCCTAGTGGGATATTTGGGAGGAAGGGCAAGTACAAGAGCTTCAAGTTCGTTTTGCCAAAGTACAGGCCCTAGAGAATGTTAAGAGGTAGTTCTGAAAATAGGGATGGATCCGCATAAATTTGCTAAGAGTCATTTTGGGGGGGTGCAGGGTGGGGGTTAACACATTTTAAAGCTTAACAGGGAAACTAAACCTAATTAAAATGGTGGATATAAACATGCTTTTTATGTAATTGTGAGCACTACAGAAATTGAGATTTACCTAACTTTCTTTGGAATGACCAGAATCATTTAAAAATAAATGTATAAGGCTGGGGGTGCAGCTCAGTGGTGGAGCACTTGCCTTGCACCACATGAGACCTTGGGGTTGATCCTCAGCACCACATAAAAATAAATGAATATTGTGTCCATCTACAACTAAAAAAAATAAGTAAATGTATAATGTTCAACTTACCAAAGTTTGACGAAGTGATTTTTCAATAGAAATCATACTTTAAATTCTGACACCACCTCTCCACAACCCAGCTTAGCAATATGTAATAGGATACTCTCCTAAGGCTGGGCCTAGGGTTGGGAAGCATAGTCAGTCAGGACCAACCAACACTCTTAGGGTATTAAAATACATAGTGTAATATTCATAGTAGTGCCAAGCTAGTATGTATCAAATTAGGTGTATTAATTGCATTAAAAAAGGTTTATTGGAATGTAATCCTATCATAGAGCACTTATATATATGCACTATACACACCTTACACATAACTTACATAATCATTTGTGAGACTGCATGTTTTTTCTTTCACAAATCTTATATATTTAACTCCTGTGTCCAAGTGTCATCAGGAGTCATTGTTGCATCAATTCCCAACAGCAAAATAAGCTCAACATATTCTCCAATCAACCATATACTAAAGACAGAAATAAGGTGGTTCATTTTTCAAAAAATGGGGGTTTAAGTTACCTCTACTATGTACTTTTTCCTTTAAAGATTCATGAGGCAGAGGCTGGGGTTGTGGCTCAGTGGTGGAGTGCTCACCTAGCATGTGTTAGGCACTGGGTTTGGTCTTGAGCACCACATAAAAATTAAATAAAGGTATTGTGTCCTCCTAATATATATATTATTATTATATATGATTCATTCATGAGACATTCTTGGGGAAGAGAAGGATCAAGTCTAAACAGTTCTTTAAAATTAACTTTCTTATTAGAAATTTTGGTATACTTTTGTTAGCTTTCTTAGAAAATATTTTATTTAAAAATGTGCCTAATGACTAGTGTTTTATTTATTCAACAATTGAAGGCTCCTTGAATGATTTTTGCTACTATTAACTACTTATTCACAGGCATTCCTGTATTTCTTTAATAAATAATGCATTGACAAACAGCATGATGGTCCCAGTGTTGACCTTGGTGCTTTGCTCACAGTCCCTGTCCTTCAGTTATGACAGGAGTTTTCACTGTTATTACAATTAAGATCTCTCATACACATGACATACAACACATACATAGATACCTGAAGATGTTAAAAACTGAATCACAACACTGATTTAATTTACTAGAATCAACTGTGCATGCTCTATACATGATTGGCAATTCTCATCAACATAGTCCTTAAATTAGGGAAGCCAAATATTTCATCTTGTTCTTAAGCTCAAGAGCTAGCAATTTAGTATGAAATTGAAGTAAAAGGTTGCTATGCTGGACTCACTGAAAGATATAATATATCTCCTAAGTAAGTAAAAGCCTTTTCATGAGTGACTCTGACTATACAAAATGTTTGGTATATGCACGACAGAATCTAACTTCCACATAAAATGCCACTGTACATAATTAGCTAAGTACAAATAGCTCAAATCTTATGACACAGTATCTATAAATCAATATTATTTAGCCATTAAATGATAATGTTGAAGCCAGGTAGGGTGTCAGTGCATACCCAGAGAGTTGGTAGTCTGAGGCAGAAGGATCACAAGTTTGAGGCTGGCCTAGATGACTAAGAGAGACCTTGTTTCAAAATTAAAAATAAAAAAGGGCTGGGGATGTAGTTAAGTGGCAGAACGTCCCCGGGTTCAAAAATCCCAGCACCAAAAAAAAAAAAAAAGTTAAAATTATGTGGAAAATATGTATAATGTATTAAGTGATATGTGCCTCCATGTATCTGTTGTAAAATACATATAGTTATATTTTAGAAAACTGTTGTCTTGGAATTATAGATGCTTTGTAACATTTCTTTAGTGTTTTCTTCTAAACTTCTTATTAATATACTATTTATTTATTTATTCTAATCAGTTATACATGACAGCAGAATGCTCTTCGATTCGTTGTACACAAATGGAGAATTTTTCACTTCTCTGGTTGTACCCAAAGTAGAGTCACACCATTCATGCAATCAGTCTCATTCCACCATCCTTCCTATTCCCATGCCTCTCCCTTGCTCCCTTTTGCCCCACCCAAAATTCCTCCACTCATCCCATGCCCCGCCCCCCATTATGGATTAGCATCCACTCATCAGAGAAAACATTCCCTCTTTGTTTTTTTGGGATTGGCTTACTTAGCATGATATTCTAACTCCATCCATTTATTATTAATATACTTTAAACCAGGTTAAGAAATGTATATTTGACATCTCATCAATGAACCTATAACTAAATACATTTTAGATTATGTTTATCTACATTCTTTTTTTCCCCAGTGTGAGGACTGAACTCAGAGCCTTGTGTGTGCTAGGCAAGCACTCTGCCATCCTACATTCTTTATGCAGGGATCTATATAACAAATTCCTCATTTACTTCAAATTCAGTCAGAAAGACTGATTTTCTTCAGAGAAACATCCATACTTTATTAAAAATAAGTAAATAAATAGGTAAATAAAATAGAACAGGGGAGTATAGCTCAGTAGGGAAGCATGTGCTTAGCATGGTTGAGGCCTTGAGTTCAATCTCCAGTGCTGAAACAAAACACCCCAAAATAAACAAAAGCCACAAAAAATACATCAATCAGAATGCTTAGCTTAGATGTAGGAAACTGAATGCTGCATTTGTGTACAACAAAAAGCAATGGAAGAAAGATTTACTTTTATGTATCTTGTAGCTGGTTCAGTTCTGTTGTTAAATTCCCTATCTTTCACATTTTATTTTTGAACTACTTCAAATCATCTAAAAGACTTATGTGGAACAAATAATATAAGTACAATGGACATTTCCAATTAAAGATTGTTTGAATTGGTTTTCTCATAAATACCAATAACTATACAATTAGAATTCTATCTCTAAAATTTGGAATCTACATACTTTGAAATATTAACTGTTATACTGGAAAAGGTTTTGACCACTATGAGTCATTTAGCCCATCTGTAACAAATTAAAATTAAAAGATACTTTAAGGGCTGGGGATGTAGCTCAAGAGGGGGCATGCTCATCTGGCATACACGGGGTGCTGGGTTCGATCCTCAACACCACATAAAAATAAAGATATTGTGTCCACCTAAAACTAAAAAAATAAATATTAAAAAAAGATACCTTAAGATAAAATTATAAGAAACAACTTTTTGGTAGTTTTATGAATACAGTAGGTTTCCTATAAGATGAAAACTAATTAGGGTTAGGATCTAAGATTTTATAATATGAAAAGTTGAATTCAGTAAAATTGTGTTTTCATTTATAAAAGTTTAGAAATTTAAAAATAAACTCTTTGGACCAATATATTTGCCTAGCAATTTTGAAACATTTTAAATGCTACTTAAGAAAAAAAGTATTTTAAAGCTGGCTTATTTCAGATGATATTTCAGAACAAAAAGTTTCTATTTTGAGGCAAACAGAGCAGAAATAAAACTGCATTAACCAGTAAGATGTGAAAGACACAAAGATTTTATAAACATATGAAGTTCAGAAAGAGTGAATGGCAATTGGGAATAGCTAAAGGAAATCAAAAGGATGATAGCAATAATACAATTAATAGGGAATTTGAGGTGCAAGGTATATTTTAAAAGTATTCTCTATATAAAACAATGCATGCTTCAAACAAATACAAAATGTTTATTACACAAAAATGTAATAACTGACAAACTACCAATCTGTTAAACTTAGAAAAAAATACTAAGTTATTTCATAACTCTTTAAAAAAAGACACTTTATATTTTTGTTACTTAAGCTAACTTACTTCAAAGTTAAAAAATTACAAAATTTTGGTTTAAAAAATGTCTATGATTACCCCCAATTTATTTTACTACACATGACAAAAAACAAAATATCTTTGAAATGTTTTGAGTATTTAAATGGAATAAAGATTGAACATAAACTTATTTAAATAACTTTTACATCAATAATAGGCCAACATACACCTTAAATGTCCTCTTAGTAGAAGCAGGAAATACTAATGACAATGCTGCATGAAACTTAAAAATATCTCTCAATTCAAGTACAGCACAATAATCAATCTGGTTAAGCTAGTAATATTTAAAGAATATGGTTAGTTATTCTCTTAGTATAACTGAATATGCTAATATCCTCAAAACATAAATAGCAATTCAGTTATCTCACATTTTCTATATTCCTTGTCTCCAGGTTGGAATAGCCCTATGAAGAAAAAGAGAAAAGCAATTACAAATACAAGAAAAAAATTTAAAGACTAAACACATCTAATTATATGTTAACTGCTAAAAATGTGTATAGATTTACTTTATCAACCTCATAACTAAATATAATATAGAAATTGTATAAAATATAAACATGCTGCTATGAAATTTCTCTAAAGTGACCATCCCTTCTAAACCCTTTTTACCTAT